AAACATAAATTTTTTCAAATTTATCAATAGTGACATTGTAACACTATTATCTGTCAAAAATCTCTGAATAACACCCCACATGTATATATATTTTTTTAAAGTAGACAACCCAGGGCATTCAATATGGGGTATGTCCAGTCTTTTTTAGTAGCCACCTAGTCGCAAACACTGGCCAAAGTTAGCGTTCGGGGGAACAATGGCGATCGGGTAAGTACATTGGACCGTTAGGACGGTTCAGGACCGTCATCGGTCGGCAACGCAAAAATGCTCATGACGGGGTTAAACATTACTTGCACAGGTACTGGTCATGGTCATGGTACTGGTCATAAAGAAAAAGCAATATACATATACATAAAATTTTAATTTAGTGCATAGGACCTCATTTGTTAATCCCTAAACATGGCCAGTCCGCAGAGTATGTAAATCAATTTAAATAACAGCACTATTTCAAAAACAAAATAAAGAAAAATAAAACATCTAGCCATCCAGGGGGATCTACAAAAATAAAATCTAATCATTTCTGTACAGTAGGCCAGTATTTATACAACAATAGCACAATGTTATATTGGGATAACATTTATATTGCTGGTATATTTTTTTTGACCGGTGTATCGTCGCCATATGGGCATTCGGAATCTTGGACAAACCCCCACATAACTAACCCCAATAAAACACGGCCACTAGGGTATATGGGTAAAATTGGCCACAGCTTTATTAAATATATAAATAATAATAACCTAACATATAAACTTTTTGGGTCATTGCCCTATGCCCCGCCCTTATTTCCGTATCCTTCCGTTAGGTATAACAGGAAATGATCCACTTAATAAATAATATATATATATATATATATATATATATATATATAACATTGAACCAACATAACATCACTTAAAGTGCAAACCATTATTATAATTTAACCATGGTTGGGGTATACCCCTACCCCACCAGGTTCTGAGCCACCTCCAGGACTCGAAACCTACTAACATACCAATAACTGCTAACATAACCTGGGGAGCTCCCTATCCCACCGCTGTGACAAAACGGGAATCCCACTACAGCCAAAAACCAAGGGAGGGAGGGTGGGACAAACTCAGCCAGGCAGGCAAGTTAAAAGTGATTTTTCCTAAGATGTCTTCCTACTTATATAACCCAGCCCCTTAACTTCTCCATTTACCACTCCCACTAGCTTCCTTCTATGCCCGCCTCCTAACCCCTGTCAAGGCCCTTTTCCACTAAGCTGTGCTTTTGTTCCATGGGGCTACAATATTTTCCTTTAAGGAAATGGGATTATTAACATTCCTAGCAAAGATATTGTTATGTCTGCTGCCTGCATATTTTAAAACTCTCTGGCACAGAACTATATGAGAATGCAAAGTGTGAGTGCAAATGCAGAGGCTGGAATAGTACTTGGTAATGTGGCATTTAATCATGCAGTTATGTCTATAGGAATCTTCAGATTCAGTAAACAAAGAGAAGTTTGTAAAAAGAGCTTGAAAGTCAAAAGCTATTATTTTATATTCTTTATTTAGTGACAGATAATATATTTAAATGGTCTGTTAGATGGAAACATTGTAATATTTATTGCTAGGTGGGGAAGCTTTGTGGGCTGAACGCCAGGATATAGGGCCCCTTATCTTGAAATCTCTAAAGTTGGTGGATGGGGCCGGGAGGTATTAGTGTTTTTTTTCCCACTGCTTTAAGAAGCTGCAGACCGGGTGTAATGGCCACCGGACCACCAGGCAGCACACACTGGACCACCAGGGAATAAAGGTATTGAGTACACCCCCTCTCCCCATCAACCCCCTCCCTCTCACCATCACCCCTCTCTTAATATCACCCCCCTCCCTCTCAACAACACCCCCACTCCCTCTCACCCCTCTCAATATCACCCCCACATCTCACCCCCCTTCTTCCCATGAGGCCCCCTCCTCTCACCATCACCCCCTCCCTCTCACCAACAGCTCCTCTCCCTCTCACCATCACCCCCTGTCACCATCACCTCCCTCTCATCATCACCCCTCCCTCTCACCATCAGCCCCCCCTCACCATCACCCCCTCCACCTCTGACATCACCCCCTCCCCCTCTCACCATCACTCCCCCTCTCACCATCACCCCACTCCCTAAGTCAATGTCAGCCTCTTCATGCATCCACAGTCACAGTAACACTCCTAACCCTGTTAATCTCACCCCCTCCAAACTCACCTGCCTTCACTCTGCCACACTCACCCTGTCACATTAACCCCCCCTTAATCCTGTCACACTCGTCCCTCTTACAATGCCACAATTGCCCTGACACACTTACCTCCACTCGCCCTGTCACACTTCCTCATCAAACCATGTCATACTCCCTCTATCTCTCTCACAACCTTCCCCCCCCAAACCTTGTCAATTTACCCCCTTCACCCTGTCACACTCTCCCTGCCACTGGTACCCCTTTATTCACCTTGTCACAGTCACCAGCTGAAGACATTCATCATTCATCATTCATCAGTGGAGTTGTTAGTATTGGATGCAAGAAAATCAAGTGGAGTAGTGGAGGTGGTAGTATTCCAAGTAAGAAATCAAACTGTTTGGCTACTTGACATAGGCAGTTACCAGGGAACTCTGGGAACCATAACCACTACAGCATGTTGTAGTGGTTATGGTACTTGTGGTGTTACTTTAATATTGTATTATCTGTGTAGGATCTAAGTTGTTACTGCGCACTGAATACCACTGAATATTATCCAATTTGTGACTAGTGACATATGGATAAGAATCTAAAACTGTTGGCACAAAACCTCCTCAATCCAGGACTGGAGAGGTTAAAGCAGCTTAGTCATCAGAAAATTATTTATGAGCATTTCATAAAGAAAAACTATTTATGAAATTCTCATAAAGACCATGTTGGAATTTCATTAAAATGACAACACAGTCAAATGATATTATAAGACAAAGTAAGGACTACTTTGTCTTACAACAAAATCCTAACTTAAAGGACCACTATACCTTTTTCCAGCGCTGGACGGGGAGCTCTCCTCCTCCGATCCTCCTCTTCTCCTCCCCGTCGGCTGAATGCGCACGCGCGGCAAGAGCTGCGCGCGCATTCAGCTGGTCACATAGGAAAGCATTCATAATGCTTTCCTATGGACGCTGGCATGCTCTCACTGTGAAAATCACAGTGAGAAGCACGCAAGCGCCTCTAGCGGCTGTCAATGAGACAGCTGCTAGAGGAAATAGGGGAAGGCTTAACCCATTCATAAACATAGCAGTTTCTGTGAAACTGCTATGTTTATGAAAAAATGGGTTAACCCTAGCTGGACCAGGCACCCAGACCACTTCATTAAGCTGAAGTGGTCTGGGTGCCTAGAGTGGTCCTTTAATCAAACTTGATAAAATGCGGAGCCCCACTAACAAGCTTTGTCAATTCCTACAGCTGTTGCTAGCAACACCTGTGAGAATCAGGTATTGTCTTGCTCATCGCAATACAATACCTATACAGGTTTTCCGTGTTTTTGCAGTAGACATCAGTATTGTAGTCTTGAGCATAGGCGTGCGCAGCTACTGCAAGCACACTCAGCGTATATATATATATATGTATGTATGTGTATATATATATATATATATATATATATATATATATACACACACATACACTGCTGTGTGTGTGTGTGCTGTGTGAGGATGCTGGTAGTGTGCTATGTGGGTGAGGGTGTTTTTATGTGTGTGCTCTTGTGAGGGTGCTGGTAGTGTGCTATGTGGGTGAGGGTGTTTGTGTGTGTGTGCGCTTGTGAGGGTGCTGTTAATGTTCTGTGTGTGAGGGTGCTGTTTGTGTGTGAGGGTACTGGTAGTGTGCTGTGTGTGTGTTTGTTAGGGTCCTGTTAGTGTACTATGTGAGGGTGCTGTTTGTGTTTGTGAGGGTACTGTTAGTGTGCTGTGTGTGTGTGAGGGTGCTGTTTGTGTGCTGTGTGTGTTTGTGAGGGTGCTGTATGTGTATGGGTGCTGTATGTGTGTGGTTGCTGTATATGTGCCTGTGGGTGCTGTGTGTGTGGGTGTGGGTGCTGTGTGTGGGTGCTGTGTGGGTGCTGTGTGTGTGTGGGTGATGTGTGTTCTGTTTGTGTGCTGTATGTGTGAGGATGCTGTGTGTGTGTGGGTGATGTTTGTTTGTGTGTGTGTGGGTGCTGTGTGTGCTGTATGTGTGTGTGTGCTGTGTGTGTGCTGTATGTATGTGTGTGTGTTGTGTGTGTGTGCTGTATGTGTGTGGGTGCTGTGTGTGTGCTGTATGTGTGTGTGTGCTTTGTGTGTGTGTGCTGTTTGTGTGCTGTATGCAGGGCCGGTGCAAGGATTTTTGCTGCCCTAGGCAAAAGTAAAGTTTGCCGCCCCCCCCATGTGACGTCACAATGCTCCACCCATATGATCTGTCATGTTAACTAACGCCAGTGCTGCAGTGCCGCCGTGTTTACATTATAAGGCCTGCAGGGACAGGCTATAGACACCAGAACAACTACATTAAGCTGCAGTGGTTCTGGGGACTAAAGTGTTTCTTTAATGTGAGGTAAATTAGAGATTAGTGCCACGAATAATATACTAGATTGCCTACTTACAATGAGATGAGGATGATGATGGGCTCTAGCTGCAGTCTGGCTCCACTGGTCTGGTGTAGAACAGGCTCTCTGTGGTCACAAAAATCAATGTTCTGGGAGAACGGGAAGCAGCTCCATTTTTTGGGGGCCCTTTACACAGCTCAAGGTCTGGGTACCAGGGTCCACCTTCATGTTCCACCAATGAGTTTGTTCACAGGGGGTGGAGTGTGTAGGGGATGTCCTGATATGTGTGTAAGGAATGCATTGTGTGAATCTGTGTTTGTATGTGTAAGGGCTGCAAGGTGTGCTTCTGTGTATGTACGGGATGCAGTGTGTGTGTCTGTAAGGGATGCATTGAGTGTATGTAAGGGGTGCATTGAGTGTGTGTAAGGAATGCATTGTGTGTTTCTGTGTGTCTAAGGGATGCATTGTGTGTAAGGGTTGCGTTGTTTGTGTGTGTGTGTCTGTGTGTGTAATGCATTGTGTGTTTTTCTGTGTGCAAGGGGTGCATTGCATGTGTGTGTGATGGATGTCAATCTCTCCCCCCCTCCCTTGTCACTCTCTTCTCCCCCCTCTCCCTCCCTTGTCACTCTCTTCTCCCCCCTCTCCCTTGTCACTCTCTTCTCTTCTCCCCTCCCCCTCCCCACTCTCATTGCCCCTCCCTCCCCTGTCACTCTCACCCCTGTCAATTTCTTCTCCCCCCACCAATTTCTTCTTCTCCCCCCCTGTCAATTTCTTCTTCTCCCCCCTCCCCTTCCAATTTCCCCCTCCTTCCCATTTCTTCTTCTCCCCTCCCTCCCCATTTCTTTATCTCCCCTCCCTTGACAATTTCTTCTCCTCCCCCCTCCTGCCAATTTCTTCTTCTCCCTCTCCTTCCAATTTCTTCTTCTCCCAGTCCCCTTCCATTTCTTCTTCTCCCCCTCCCCAATTTCTTCTCCTCCCCTCCCATGCCGGTCTTCTTCTCCCTCAATCTTCTTCTTCTCCCCCCTCCCATTCTCTCCCCCTCCAGTTTCTTCTTCTCCCCTCCCCTCCTCCCAATTTCTTCTTCTCCCTCCTCCCAGTTTCTTTCCTCCCCCCACCATTTCTTCTTCTCCCCTGTCGTTTCTTCTTCTCCCCCTCCTACCATTTCTTCTTCTCCCCTCCTTCAATTTCTTCTTCTCGCCCCTCCTTCCTATTTCTTCTTCTCCCTCCCTCCCATTTTTTCTCCTCCTCCCTCCCCTTAGTTTCCTCCTCCTTGATTCTTCTCCTCCCCTCCCTGCCAATTTCTTCTTCCCCCTTCCTACTATTCTTCTCCCCTCCCATTTCTTCTCCCCCCTGCTTTCTTCTTCTCCCTCCCTCCCAATTTCTTCTTCTCCCCTCCCATATCTTTCTCCTGCCAATTTCTTCTTCTCCCACCCTCCCCATTTCTTCTCCCCCCTCCTACCAATTTCTTCTCCCCTCCCCTGCCAATTTCTTCTTCATCCCTGCCAATTTCTTCCCCCCCTCCCAATTTCTTCTCCCCCCATCCCCAAGTGAGTGTGCACTTCCTGTTAGTCCGGCCGGGTACAGGAGACAGATGCTACCTGTACCAGCGGACCATAGAGGGCTCGGCCACGCTACAGAGAGGGAGTGACAGAAGGGAGCGCTGAGCGCTTCCCTCCTGTCAGCCCCTCTCCTCAGGCTGCGCCTGGGCGGTGCGGTCCGCCCTCATGGATGCACCGCCCCGGCAAAGCTGCAGCCGCCTGAGGCTCTCTACAGAGCGCTCGGGTGGCTGCAGCATCAGGGGGGACGGCGCTCCTGGCGGCGCCCCTTCCCAAGGGGCGCCCTAGGCGGCTGCCTAGTCCGTCTAACAGGTAGCGCCGGCCCTGCTCCCACCCTCCCCATTTCTTCTCCCCTCCCAATTTCTTCTTCTCCCACCCTCCCCATTTCTTCTCCCCCCTCCCCTGCCAATTTATTTTTCTCCCAACCTCCCCATTTCTTCCCCCCCTCCCAATTTCTTCTCCCCTCCCAATTTCTTCTCCCCCCATCCCCTTCCAATTTCTTTCTCCTCCCCCCCCTACCTTTGCTGTAGCGTGGCCGGACCATAGAGGGCTCGGCTACGCTACAGAGAGGGAGTGACAGGAGGGAGTACAGAGCGCTCGGGAGGCTGCAGCATCAGTGGGGCCGGTGCTCCTGGCCGTGCCCCTTCCCAAGGGGCGCCCTAGGTGGCTGCCTAGTACGCCTAACAGGTAGCGCCGGCCCTGGCTGTATGTGGGCGCTTGTGAGGGTGCTGTTAATGTACTGTGTGTGAGGGTGCTGTTTGTGTGTGAGGGTACTGGTAGTGTGCTGTGTGTGTGTTTGTGAGGGTACTGTTAGTGTGCTGTGTGTGTGTGAGGGTGCTGTTTGTGTGCTGTGTGTGTTTGTGAGGGTGCTGTATGTCTGTGGGTGCTGTATGTGTGTGGGTGCTGTATATGTGTGTGTGGGTGCTGCATGTGTGTGTGTTGGTGCTGTGTGTGTGGGTGTGGGTGCTGTGTGTGGGTGCTGTGTGTGTGTGGGTGATGTGTGTTCTGTTTGTGTGCTGTAAGTGTGAGGATGCTGTGTGGGTGATGTTTGTTTGCTGTGTGTGTGTGCTGTATGTGTGTGGGTGCTGTGTGTGCTGTATGTGTGTGGGTGCTGTGTGTGTGCTGTATGTGTGTGTGCTTTGTGTGTGTGTGCTGTTTGTGTGGTGTATGTGTGTGCTGTTTGTGTGCTGCATGTGTGTGTGCTGTGTGTGTGTTGTATGTGTGTGTGTGTGCTGTTTGTGTGCTGTATGTGTGTGTGAGCTGTGTGTGTGCTGTATGTGTGTGCTGTTTGTGTGCTGCATGTGTGTGTGCTGTGTGTGTGCTGTATGTGTGTGTGTGCTGTTTGTGTGCTGTATGTGTGTGTGTGCTGTATGTTTGGGTGATTTGTGGGGGTGGAGATAGGGGCAGATTAGCTAATAAATACCCCCCTCCTTTCTTACCTTATGTAGGGAGAGGGGACCGTGCTGCTATCTTCCCTGGTGGTCCAGTGGAGGTGGGGGCAGATTACTTAATATCCCCCCTCCCTTGTTACCTTATGCCAGGGAGGGGGGATCCTTTCTGCCTTCTCTGGTGGTCCTAGTGGTGAGAGTGAACTCTAGCCTGCGGGGCTAGAGTTCACTCGCGCAAGATTTGAGCGTTGCCGTGGTAACCGCGGCAACACTCAGATCTCGCGAGAGGAACCCAGCGGAGCTGCTGGCAAGAGCTCCCCGGGTTCTCTCCTGCCTCCCTCACTGCCTGTGGGTCGGTGGGGAGGGAGGCTGAGAGCAGAGCCGGCGTACGGATAGCGCCAGCTCTGCATGAGCCAACAGGGGAGATCCTGAGATCTCCCCTGCCGGTTTCACTCCATAGGCATGCCGCGGGGATTAGGGTGTGCCCAGGCAGACCCGGCACACCCCGTGTGCACGCCTATGCTCTTGAGCATGTACCATGTACAAAATTTTAACAATACTCCATAAAAATATGGGTTTAATGATATATGCAATATGAGAGCGTATGGTAGCCCAGGAATGAGAATTACCCCCATGATGGCATACCATTTGCAAAAGAAGACAACCAAGGCATTCAATATGGGATATGTCCAGTCCTTTTTAGTAGCCACTTAGTCGCAAACACTGGCCAAAGTTAGCGTTCATATTTGTTTGTGTGTGAAAAAAGTTAAAAACTAATTTGAACGCTTATTTTGGCCAGTGTTTGTGACTGACTACTAAAAAAAACTGGACACAGCCCATTTTCAATACCTTGGGTTGTCTTCTTTTGCAAATGGTATGCCATCATGGGGGTAATTCTCATTCCTGGGCTACCATACGCTCTCCAAGGCAACGTAACCAACCTGGCCATTTTCAATGTAAAAATATTTGACCCATATATTTGACACTGTAACTTTCAAAAAGGCTATAAAGCCTGTGCATGGGGGGTACTGTTATACTTGGGAGACTTTGTTGAACACAAATATTAGTGTTCACAACAATTATATTATCAGTAAAAGTACTGTTTGTGTGTGAAAAATGCAAAAAAAAGTCACTTTCACTGACAATATCATCGCTGTGATATGTTTTACTGTTTTGAATCACTAATATTTGTATTCAGCGAAGTCTCCTGAGTAAAACAGTACCCCCCATGTACAGGTTTTAGGGTGTCATAGAAAGTTACAGGGTAAAATACAGTGCTAACAAATTAAATTCTCTGGACTTTCGGCCTGGGTTGGCAGGCAGTTCCCTCAAATTGCAATCAATAAAATTACTTCATTATGTAAAAATATTAGATAAATACGCACGTAGAATATACATATTTATGCATATTTATATATTTGAAGTTTATTTTGTAGAATTATTTATGTAATTTTTTATATGGACATATGTATATTTCGTATTATTTTTATTTATTTATATATACATAGATATATATACAATTTCATTTTAAGTGTATTTTGATATATATATATATATATTAATATCAAAATACAGTTAGAATAAAATTTTATATAGATACACAATATATATAGTTATTATATATAATATATATACGTGTGTAATTTAATTATAAGTGTATTTTTATATTAATATATGTACATATTAATATAAAAATACACTTAGTATGACATTATATATGATATATAGACATACATTATATAGGTATAATATATGTCTATATATCATATATATACACATATATAATTATTTTTTTATTTATTAACATTAACAGTTATTTTTTATTTTTTATTTTACACTAGCAGGGAGACTGCCTGTCAGCACAGGCAGTCCCCCTGCAGGCAGATACATGGACACCTATTGTGACCATGTGACCGCTCTGTTGAGTGATCACATGGCCTCAGGGGTCCTAATCCGCCATGGGGAGACTGTCTGTGAATGTTTAATCAGGGGGCGGGGAGCCCCTTATAAAGCAGAAATATGTCATATGCAGAAAGCAAGTTTTCAGGGAAAATACATCTTTAATTGGTTAAGTATTAAGTGTCTTATCTAATGCACAACCTACAGGGTGTGATGTCACTGTCATCATGGGATTGTCCTCCACATTCCAGCGCCATCTTGCTACTCGATGGGAGGGGAATTTTCTAGCAGCCTTTTCTGAGCAATTAATGAACACCAGAGGGGAGGGATTGTTAGGGGGAGCTTCTAGTAGCTAGGTTAACAGAGTAAACATTGAATAATTCTGAATACAGTTATGCAGAGTAAGATTTGCAGATTATGCATTTTACTAAAGTTAATAAAGTTAATATTCTGTCCACAACAGTCCCCCCTTAAAATGACTATTTACGATTTAAAACTACTTACTATACCTAATACTATCCCTAATAGGCTGCCGCACATCTGTCCCACAGACCTCTCAAACACTTCTGCTGTGCATAGGACAAATAGTGGCTTAAGTGCTCAGCCAGTCCTTAAAGGGCATCTCAGGTATAATTAACACAGCGCTGTTGGTTGTAATAGAGTTTATTAATCCAAACAAATTTTTATTAGCAGTGATGGTTGGGGGAATAGATTCAAACTTTGTCTTTACTTTGAAATCATTTGGTACCCCCCCTTGGCACCCCTATGGCATTGATATATATGTGTTGGTCAAAACTGCCCTTTACAGGGGTGGTCCTTTTTGTCCTGAA